CTGTCCGTCCTCCCTGGACTGACCTATCTCCTCTCTACCTCCCCACCTACACTCACCTTTACTGACTCCATCCCCGCCTCTTTGACCAGTCTGTTTCCTCTCCACCTATCTTCTCCTCTATCCATTTTCCATCTGCCTCCCCCTATTTATTTCAGAACGCCCTTCCCCTCCCCCATTTCTGATGAAGGGTCTAGGCCCGAAACGTCAGCCTTCCTGCTCCTATGATGCTGCTTGGCCTGCTGTGTTCATCCAGCTCTACACCTTGTTATCAAGGACAGTGTGTGTTTTGTTCACTGCTGTCTCCAGCTATCCTGCCACCTTCTGTGCACATATACACCTAGGTTCCCCTGCTCCTGCACCCCCTTTAGAATTGTCCCTGTATTTCATGTTGTTTTTCAATACTCTTCCAACCAAAGTGCATTGCCTGACACTTCTCTGCGTTGTACCTCATCTGCCTTCTCTCCGCCCACTCCAGCAACTTGTCAGTGTCCTTTTGGAGTTCCACACTGTCCTCTTCACAATTCCCAATTCTCCCAAGTTTCAGAACATCTGCAAACTTACAGACTGCCCCTTGCACGGCAAGATCCAGATCATTCCTATCTCTCGGGAGCAGTAAGATTCCCAGTCCTGATCGCTGGGGAACCCAACGACAAACCTTCCTCCAGCCTGAAGAACATCCGCTGACCTTTTGTCTGTGTTTGCTGTTGCTTGGCCAGTTTGATAACCGTGTAGCTGCTGTCCCTTTTATACCACAGCGTAAACCTTTCCTCACAAGGCGATGTGGTACTAGGCGATGGCATAGTGGTATTATCGCTGGACTGTCATTCCAGAGACCCGGATAATGTTCCGAGGTTCGAATCCCACCATGGCAGGTGGTGGAATTTGAATTCAGTGTCGATTGTCAGGAAAAACCCATCTGGTTCACTAATGTCCTTTCGGGAAGGAAACTGCCATCCTTCCCTGGTCTGGCCTACATGTGACTCCAGACCCACAGCAATGTGGTTGACTCTGGGCAATTAGGGATAGGCAATAAATGCTGCCTGGCCAGCGACGCCCTCATCCCGTGAATGAAGAAAGAAAAATCCTTCTGGGGAATCCATCGACAGCATTGAACCTCCTCAAGACTCGTTACTTCTTCAGAAACGTCGCAGCAAGTTAGCTGAAGCAGTGACTGAAGTGGAATTCCTTTCTGTTGATTCCAGGAGATCTCCTTCCATTTCCTGGAACCCTTACGGACAGAGGACTGTGATCCGTACCCTTCATGCCTGGCCTGCCTGGCCGACCAGGGCTGCGGTTGGTGCTCTGACACCAGTACGTGCCACCAGCGGGTATTAGGTGTCGACGGCCAGTGCGGGAGGAGCAGGCACCTTGTCCTGACCCCGGGGGACTGTGTGCTGTGCGGGGAGCACACCGACTGCCCCTCCTGCAGTAGGGTGAGTGTCGGCGGTGATGGGTGGCTGATGGTGGTGGTGGGGGGGAGCGGGGGAGGCGGGAGAGAGAAGCTCCCCGTATACACCTTGCAGTTCGCTCATCCTCCTCTCTCTCTCTCTCTCTCTCCTCCCTTTCCAGGACCCGTACTGCGAGTGGCAGGTGAACGTAAACCGCAAGGGGGATTTCCAGTGTACCCGGAGAGGCAGGTCACCCAGGGGTATCCGCTCACCAGCTGCCTGCCCCAGACCCTGTCACCAGTGAGCAGCAGCAGTGGGGAGACACCACATCGATACCTGGGGCAAGGGATAGGCACAGCTGCGGGGTGGGTGTGGGTGGGGGTGAGACGTCACACAGCAAGGGTGAGTGGTTGAGGGGTGGGATGGGAGGGTCACGAGGGAGGGGTGAGGGGTCATCATGGGGCCGGGTGAAAGGTCATGGGGCCAAGAGCGAGAGGTTGAGGGGCCAGGTGCGAGGGTCACAGGACATAAGGTGAGAGGTCGCGCAGCATGGGCAGGTTGAGGGGTCATGGAAGGAGGGGTAAGAGGGTAGGGGTGGGGCCAGGTGAGAGGTCACACTGCATGTGCGGACGCTCAGTATCTGCAGTGCCCTTTCTTGCCAGTCTGTCGCCTCTCGTCCCCGACCCCACCTCGGCCTCTTGTCCCCAACACCCCCCTCCGCCTCTGTTCCCCGACCCCCCCACCTCCGCCTCCGGTCCCACCATCCGCCTCCCTACCTGCTTGCTCGCCTTCAGCCCCTGTCTTTGGTGTTTACAGGCAGACCTCGTGCCGGGATTGTCTGAGCAACTCCAGCCAGTGTGCCTGGTGCCAGTCCACACGCAGCTGCTTCCTGTTCACTGCCTACCTTGCCAAGTATCCGTCTGGGGAATGTCGGGACTGGTACGACAGGTAAGTGTCCATTCCACCTGCGGGCTCTCCTCTGAGCCCTGAGCCCCAGGGAGCATCGCTCCTGGAAAGGAGCAAGCCCTCAGCGTAAACATCCAGATCCTGGCCTGACAACAACAGAAGACTACATTTTGATAGCACCTTCCACAAACATTCCGAGGCTGTGTGCTGCTTTTAAAACAGAATCTTAAACTGAGGCATGCTTTGATCTATTAGGAGACTTGACTGTGATTTGTGAAGGAGATCAATTTTAGGGAGTGTCTAAACCAGAAAGGGAGTTCGAGAGAGGCAAAGAGAGGAAATCCAGAGCTTTAGGGCCCAGCCACAGTGTGCACAGCCACCACTGAGTGCAAAAGGCAGCGAGATCCAGAAGCTTCAGAGGCCGAAGAGCAATTGGTGCAGAGTTCTCAGAACTTCGTAGTTACTGGAGAGATAGAGAGAGTTATAGGGACCAGAGGGGGGTGACAGAAATAAGGACAGGTGTAGGGGCTGGAGGAGGTGACAGAGATAGGAAGGGGTGTAGGGGCTGGAGGAGGTTACAGAGATAGGGAGGGGGTGTAGGGGCTGGAGGAGGTTACAGACATAGGGAGGGGTGTAGGGCTGGAGGCGGTTACAGAGATAGGGAGGGGTGTAGGGTGATGGAGGGGGTTACAGAGGTAGGAAGGGGTGTGGTGACCAGGGCCAGGGAAGGTCATTGAGGAGCTGTTCCGGGAAGAAAACACCCACAACCACCAAAGGAACAGTGGCCAGACTGAATTAGGCTGGGATTGTCCAGGACACTGGGGAAGAGTCCAGTCCATGGGTCAGAAATGAATGGTTACAGTTCTTTGACAATGCAGACGACACCTCAGTTTAACATCTCTCCCTAACAATAGTAGATCAAGGTGTACTCATCCTGTATTATGAAGCTTTATCTTGTGTATTAGCCATATTTACTGTGTATGTTTGATTTGGTATATGAATGTGTTTGTGTATAGTCAGTTCGGTATATAGTATATACATTGTGAGTTCTCTCTGGTCTGTGTGGCCCGGGATCCGGTGATGAGAGTGTGTACCCAGGACGCTGGTTTATCCCGGTGCAGTGTGAGAACATGCTCTGTCTTGTCATGTTACTGGTCGGATTGTATTGAGCACTCGATAGTTTTTTTAACGGAGCCCCTGTGCCCTATTTACAGTGTTCACTCGGTCAGCTTGTGTACAGACTGCTCTGTTTTCCTCATCTGTAAAGACTGTCTGCAGAACTTCGAGTGTGGCTGGTGTGGCAACGCAGACAACCCTACCATTGGCAGGTAACACACGGCACTGTCACCCTCACCATCGGCAGGTAACACCCGGCACTGTCACCCCCACCATGGCCAGGTAACACCCGGCACTGTCACCCCCACCATGGCCAGGTAACACCCGGCACTGTCACCCCCACCATGGCCAGGTAACACCCGGCACTGTCACCCTCACCATGGGCGGTAACACCCGGCACTGTCACCCCCACCATGGTCAGGTAACACCCGGCACTGTCACCCCCACCATGGTCAGGTAACACCCGGCACTGTCACCCCCACCATGGTCAGGTAACACCC